TCCCCCGGCTTGTTGAACAGCTGGCCAGGGAACGGGTTCTCCGAGCTGTTCGCCACGTCGTCCTGCATCATCAGGATGATGTTGTCTGCTGGTATTCCACTCTGCAACATGAGCTGGTAGGCATGGCAAGCATCCGCTTGGTGGCGGTAGTTCATGAATCCTGATGAGCCAGCCGCAATAACGGCATACTTCTCAGCAGCTGCCACGGCCGAGACAAGCGCTACGAGGGCTGCGCGCAAAGCCATGGTTCGAGGTCGGGGGATCTGACGAGACGGGCGTGTGTGCTCGAGCCAAACTAGTGCACCACAATGATGTTGAACTTGCTTCTACAACAATTGATATGGCTTTGGAAGTGGCTTGTTCCTGTGTCCCAGGCCGGGCCAAACGCAGAGGCGCTGCTCTACACAAATACACCCCTCCACCCCTACCGTTCCTGGATTCCTGCACCCCTGCACTCCGAAGAGGGCGGTCGGTGCCGAGTGCACGCGGATTCACCAAGAGTTCGGCCGCATACAGGCCTTCGCATCGATGCCTCCATTCGGCAGCTTCAGGATGGGGCTCAGGTCCATCCCTGCCAAAGAATGCCGCGGGCCCCAATGCCCCAAGCATCGACAAAGCCGCAGCGTTGCCAGGGCCGCCGCGTGCGGAAATCTGGTGCCCAGGATCATTTGGCGGGCTCCCGTAGGGATACCTACGCGGGTCGATTAGGAAACTGATTGTTGACAGCCGGGCCCAGAAGCCGAGGCACGCATTCTGGGTCATGACATCCCTCATCTCTGGCAGAGCCTGGTAATCAGCACTTGCAACTAGGCTCGATGTTACCCCCAACATGAACGGAAAATCCAGCTTCCACCTAGCATCTCTTCTTTCGAACTCCGTCAAGCTGCGTTGATCGCCGGTGCCACCATGCTGAATGCGTAGGCACGGGGGTTGCCCTGGCACGGTTTGCAAGCATAAGTAAGCACACATGGTTACAAACTGTTTTGCGGGACTCTTTTAGTGCTGGCATGCAGTTGCCGGCCACCAACCATGTGCCCGACCTGGTAGGAGTAAAGAGAGCCGTGTGTCCTCTCAGCCATGCTGAAGCCTGAGCGGACTGTAAAGAGGCTGCCGTCTGGCACAAGGCTGTTCTTGAGCCCTTAGCCGGACAGCTCGCGGGTCTTGCCGAAGAAGGGGCGATTGAAGGATGCCCAATACCTGTTCAAACTTTCTGTCTAAAGCGCTTGCCGACAGGCTGGCCTCTGGTGGCAACGAAGCATCATCTGGAAGCATGAACCCAAGACCGAAGACACCAAGAGCCAAGACTCAATGCAGAATCCCAGCATGTTGGATCCACATGCTGCACCACGATCAAGGGGCCGGTGATTGCCATGCACAAACTCCAAAGCCCCTCCAGGACAGTGACTAACTCCACTGTATGTCGTGTGAGGATCATGGCCTGTGTCTCAGGAAATCAGGAAACATGTGCAGTACATGTGACGAGAACCCCAGGCTTTCGACGACAGGCCTGTGCTCGCGCAGATGTGCGCTCATGTCCTGGGAACAGGTTGACTGCATGCCGCGTGCCGAACGAAACTGTTGCCCAACTTCTGCAACAACCCCCGCCTGCATCTCCGAAACTCCGGGGATCATCTCCACTACCCAGAACATGCCATCGGGTAACTGCAGGCCAAGCAGGCACAAACAACCACGTTTCGGTTATGCGACCAGAGGAAGTACACCCGGGATTGGTTGTATTGAGCACTGATTTGGAGTCTAGACATGGGCAGGTGCGGGGAGGGGTCGCAGCTCTGCAGATGGCAACTCAGGCTGCAGCTGGCTTGCCGCTCTCGAACCTTGACAAGGTGACAATGGGCGTCAAAGCGGCAAAATCCAGCTAATTCTGCTGCTCATATAAGGCAGTCTCCCACGTAGACACCGTTGCCACCGCTCATCCCCACTTTGAGGGCAGAACTGGTTGTAGTCGGCTACCATCCACTGAGCCGCGAAAGTGCCCGTGTTGGTCCGGGAGAAGCGCTGCACCTTCCCAAGAACTACAGCTTGGAGCACTTGAAGCATGAAGCCCAAGCTACGCCAGTCTCCCAATGAAAGCTTCCAGGTTGATGGCTGGTGCTTGTTTGAATTTATGCCGGTTGCCCTGCCCTCCTGAAGCCCTGGCTCCGGAAGCTGGGGCTGCCACCCAGTCTGGGGAGGACTTGGCCAAGCGATTCACGGCCATGAGGTGCATGAAGTTCCTGTAGGCAGAGAGGCCTTCCGTCCACCAGAACTCGGATCTAAGATCAAGGTAGCACAGCTCGTAACTATCTGTTTGTTACCCAAATCCTCAGCTTGAAGCCCCCGCTCCACATCCCCGCAAGACCGCCGAGGTGCGGAATGCTCTTGAAGCGAGGGAAGTCCAGCACCCTGGGCCCCAAGAACGTGAACCAGCAACGAATGCGAGCTAGGAACTTGTCACCATCTTTACACCCACGATCTGCACATGCAAAGTTCGTGGCTTATCCCAAACATTCTGGTCGAGGATGACCAAGGACGTCTCCATTGCAACAATACCTGCAGAAGTACAACAGCCGGAAGCTGTGCAAGATTTTGGCGGGATCGTGTTTTGCGCTTCGGCAACTTCACATGCGGAACTTGGCAGCAGCAACAGCACTTGGGCCCCATCCGCTGTTCATCTCGTAGAAGTCATCTGTGCCTCGTGGGCTGGCAAGACATGTACAAGGGCGGCATGTCAGAGACCAAGGCGGTTCAAGACTCCATGTGGCTCAATGCAGCTTCTTCCTAGCTCTGAAGAGATGGCGCAGCTGCTTGTGGCTGCTAGGAGTTCAGCCATGGGCAGTGAGGGCGCGTGAGAGCAGTGGTGGCAGCCAGCGTTCTGGGCTGCCTGGCAGAGGCCTTGGACCTCCCGGCAGGTGCTCGCTAATCTCCGTCTTGAAGCTTAGAAGCTGTGCCGGGAACTCGAAACGATTAGACAGGTCGACTACCGTCTGGGCATAGTGCTTCGACACTTCCGGGTCGTCCTGGCAGTGGAGCACCTGCACCTGTGGGACTGGAGCATCCAGATCGACATCCCGGGCCCTCAGGCACTGGTCCTGCATCTTGCTTGCTAGGAATTGGAAAGCCGGTATCGCACAGCCACATAGGATGACACCAATCATCTGGGCCTGAACTTTGGCAGGCGCGGTCTTCGAGAGGACCGAGTAAGCAGCGACAGATCCTCCCTGGGAGAATCCGCCAACCCAGACCTTCGGTGCCCTCTCGGAAGCCTGTAGTTCTCTCTCCAGCAAGTTGTAGAGCTGCTTGCAGCCCACCTCTACCTGTTCCAAACAGCGCAGCTCTGGAACGCTGGGCTTTCCGAACGAAACGTTGGTCGCAGGATCCTTGGCTGCCTTTGCGATGGCCTCTTCCGTCGGCATCTCGTGCATCTCATACCACTGCATTCCCTGCGCCACGATGGCCTGGTCTGTCCACGAGTGCCAATTCCTCAAATCTCGCGGCCGGCCCACAACAAGCACGCGCAGCGACTGCACAGAGATCGACGCGAGTGCGCTGCGCCAGAGCTCGGGGGGCTCCTGGTTGCCAGGGAGCCAAAGCAGCAGCTGCTCCGCTTCACCCGGGCCGGGTCCTAACTCCACAGCAACTGGAAGGCTCGCAGCTTCTGGGATCATTAGGACAGGGTCAAAGAGAGCGGTCTGAAGGACGGTTTTCTGGACCATCTCCTCCTCTTCTTGCTCAGCCTTTTCTACTTCTTCGGCCTCCCGCTGGACTTTTCGCTCCTGAGCCTCCCGAGTCTCCCTGGCTTTCTTCCGCTCCTTCTCGGCAGAAGGCAACCTTAGCAGAGTAACGTCCAAGGGGCCATGGCCTCCTTTGGTTTTCGACGCCATGGCCTTCCGGAGGCTTGGCAGGGACGGATGGCTGTCGGCCAGATAGTAGCCTGCACTGTAGAGCTCGTCCCGTGCGTCTTCCAAGCGATCTTGCAGCTCCACGCAGATCATCTGCACCTGATTCCGAGTCCGATCTTCCTCTGTTGCTCTCCTGCGGATATAGGGCCTCAGCTTGTCGGCATACTCGGCGAGGTCCAGATACCCCAATGGCTCCACGGCGAGCACCACATCGAAAAGATCTGGGGATGCCAGGTGCCTTCAGTGTCAGAGCATGACAAAGACTAACGTGATTTGTCTCAACCCTGCCCTGCAAAGCCCAACTATTCTGCTCGCTGGAACCACAGACTGGACCAAAGATGCTGGAGGACGCCAAACAGAGACTCCAGCCGGCTCTAAAACCACTGCAACCCCTGAACCTCGACACTTCAAAGCCAAGCCCTGAGGCGAAAAGTCTCAAACCCAATCAAGCCAGGTGACGGGTCACCGCCGATGGCTTCGGGCACCGGAAGCAACACCGTCGTCACGCCTTCTCTCAAGCTCTCGGAACTGAGGTTTAGGCTCCAAGAGCAACAAACAAGGGCGGGGGGGGGGGGCGTGGTTTTGTCTGCCGCACGGTTCTGTACAAACCTCCTCAGCCTGCAAGCCTTCGAGTCGTCAAAGTCATCGGGGCTCCTAACCGAAGCCCGGCCTTTGCCCACACCACTCAAGCGATCGAGAGACGTCTCGCCAAGAACGACCTGACCAAGGTCATTGAAGCTTCGGGCCGGAAACAAGCTTTCGAAGTTCAGGCCCCTAGAGTGCCACTGACGATGTTGGTAGTTTGGGCTGTCCATGCTCGAGCCCGATACTCTGGAGCGGATTAGTCTGGCCCCGACACCCTTCACTCTCACAACACCCAGAATACATCTTGTGACTTGCGACGTAACCCACTGGCCCACTGCACGTCAGTCGAAGGCCTCAAAAGGCCCTGAATGCAAAACCTCGACAAGTCCCAAGATCTCCCCAAGCTCTCCTCTCATGACGGCATGCTTAAAGCCATGTATGCTAAGTAAATTTTTTGGGTTTGAGGATTCGCAGACGTCATGCAAAAGCTGCAAGAATGGAGCAGCCTCGCAGCCCTGCTGCGCTAGCTGCGGCGCCACAGTGCGAGCCAGGCGGCCCAGGACCAGGAGCCGCAGAGAGGCCGCCTCGTCTTGAAAAACGGACAGCTCGGGGGCCCCTGGGCCAAAGCCTCGCTCCCTGCCTTCACCCCACAGCATTACAAGCATGGCGTGGGCCAGTTGGAGGGGCGGTGTTGTGCCAGATTGATGTGTGCATGCACACACCAAGCAAGCACATGAACCTGCCGCATGAGGGCCTGGCCTAGTGATAAGATACTCGAAATCCTCAAGAAATGAAGTGAAGCCCCTACCTTCGACACCCCTCGACAAACTGCAACACCGACTGGAATCCAGAAAATCCTCCGACATCCTGGCCTCTTCAGTTCCCAGCAGTGGCCGCAAAGTGGTCGCCAGGCCTTCGGCCACGCCGGGCACAGGAGAAACAGGTTGGCGCTCCGCATCTTTGGCGGCCTCTCGGGATGGCTGTGTGAATCTAGCAAGGGCATTTGGGAAGATTGGCCGGCTGCTGAAGCAGGAGACCAGACAACACCCCTTCGAAGCCAGTCTAAGTCTATGCCTTTCGGTGTTTGGGATGGGGATGGTTTTTTGATCCTGCACCCGTCCTTGGCGAGTTTCTCGCCCACAACCTGCCCGGCCAATGTGCGCGCATCAAACACCTCCTGCATCACACGGGACTTCTGCTCGTCGGTGAGGCCGATCTCTTTACTGCTGAGGCTGTCGCGCAACTTCTCCTTGGTGGACTGGTTGGCATACATCAGCCGTAGAAGTTTCGCCATCTGTGACCTGGTGTCTGCGTGATCGCTGCGAATGAAGTGCTGCAAAAGGCAAAAGAGCGTCTCTATCGTCACCTTGTCGAAGCAACCTAACTGACTGCAGAGCTGTCCAAACAACTCCGTAGCCGCGAAGACGGACTGCGGCTCGGAGTCACCAAGCACCTCGTGCAAGACACGGACGGCACCTTCGAAGCAAAGGTCTGTGTGGTCTCTTGCAACACGCATCCCCAGCTCCGTGTCCATGGCACACTGCAGCACACTGCAAGCACTTCGCCGTTGGGAAGGCCCCGACAAGGTTGCTCTCAGATGGCTCTCCACCGGGCTGGCTTGAGGCCAGGGAAGGTGCAATAGTGGCATAAAAACATGGAAACCTGCCAATCGTTTCGCCACCTTGTCGTTGTGAGGATGGCGCTGGACCAGGAGTTCTAACAGAAGCAACGCTTCTCCTGCAATATTCGCAGGAGCTACCACGAGAGGCACGAGCACACCCCAGCCAAACGGGCGGTCCAGGACATCCTGTGCCCATTCCTCAGCTGGAGCCCTGGGTGCGATGCCTTCTCGCGGCATTTCCTCGCACCCACGGTCGCACGTGGCTAATAGATGCGCAACAAGGAACCGCATCACGGCCGCCGCCAGCTCTTCTGGATGAAAGGCTCCGTAACCCTTTTTGAGGGTCTGCGTGGGCTTCAGCTTGAACCACTCCATCTTCACAGTGCCAGAAGGGGTTTGAATGTCTCGGTGAGTCTGGACCCCCGCATCCCTTCGCAGTTTGGCGGCACAGGAGGCCCAAAGCTTGCCCACCAGCTCAGGAGAAAAGGATCGCAAGATCCTGGGGTTCTCGGACCAAGAACTCAGCAAGGCCAGCACTACCCGGCGCACAGCAGCGCCGCTGTGTAGGACGAAGCCTCCAGAAAGCCCTGAGCCCAGGCGCTCCCCAATGAAGCCCTCCACGAACAAAGCCAAGGCCAAAGCCTCGGCGTTGTCCAACCGCTGTGTCTGTGCCGCCAGTTCCTGCAGGACCTCTGAGGTCACGGCCCGCAAATCATCTTCTCTCAGGCCCTCGCTGCCGAGTCGATCGTCCAAAGTCCGGGCCCAGGAACGCAGGCAGCGCGCCAGAAAGCCTCTAGACTCCACTAGCGTGTCAGCGACGAAGAGTCGCTGTTTCAAGCGATGTCTCAGCAATGACCGTACCAACTGCAGCGTGAGCTGGGGGCGCCGGGTGAGTTGAGCCACCATCTTGGGCATGGATGCCAGAAGCTTTCGCAGCTCACCCTCGCCCGGCAGCTCCGGGGACACTGCGCACATAGCCTGCAGCACAACCAGGGGCCAGGCATCATCGCCATCTTCATTGTCGGAGTCGTTCGATGAGGATGAAGTTGACAGTGAACTGACTACCAAGTCCAAGATGCCATGGCCCCGAAGCAGGAAGTCCAGGGATTTCCTCACTGCAGGGTCCTCTGAAACCTGGGCCTCCAGGCGGCTGAGCTGACCTGCCAAGACTTGCGCCAAGGATGCCAGCTGCTGCTCTGCTGCGAAATCTAGGGCGTCATTGAACGCATCCTTTTGCCTTGTCTGGCGGAAATCATGACAAGAGACACTTCCCAAAGACCGTCATTAGAGCCTCCATGAGCCCAACCTCTGTTCATTGCATAAACACATAGACACAACACCTATAAACACATAAACACACAAATGGTTAAACACATACGCATATACAAGCACAAACAAGCACAAACATAGACATATGTTCATATTCATATAAGGATATACCAGTGCATGCACAGATATACGTATTCATATACATAAACATGTACATATACATCTACATACACGAATACGACCAAGTATACGCACATACACGCATACACATGTGTATGTGTGTATATATGTATATATGCGTACATATAAACACTACCTATATATGTGTGAATCTACAGATTGGTATACGCAAGTAACACATATCTATAAACACATGCTATAATATACTTATATGCCAATGCACATTTACATGTAGATATAGGCATAATCTGCACCTATGAGTTCATATGCATATGCATACACACGTACATATACATATACATGTACAATTATAAGAACATAAACATACATATACATATACATATGCATATGCATGTGCATATGCATGTGCATATACGTGCGCATATACATATAAATGCGCATATACATTTTCTACATTGACATATTTTTTCACAGATGCTCTTTGTTCAAACACGCATACACATACACATACACGTACACATACACAAAAACTGACAGATACACATACACATGCATGTACGCACATGTTTATATACACAAATAGATACAGACCTAAACCTATACCTACACGTACACCCACCCGCATACACATAACTACACATAAATGTATAAGTACATATGTGCATATGTACATATCTGCATACCTACATATCTAGAGATCTGTATAACTGCATATAACTACATGCCTACATATCCACAGCCAGGCTTTACAAACACTTTACTTACATACATATATACATATATGCATATATGCGTACATGTATACAAGTAAACATAAACACATAAAGACATAGATGCGTATATACATAGAGACATCTGTACATGTATGCATCTGTGCATGTGTACACACATGCACACATGCGATGTACACATATACACATATCAGCATATACAGAGACACGTGTAACTGTACATACATACATACATACATACATACATACACACGCACATACATAGACGACACAGGCTCATATACACGTATAGACCTATACTCCTATACACTTTATACCTGTATATCCACATACATATATACATCTATATACATATAGACATAGGTACATACCGATCGACACATAAACAGATAGGTGGATAGGCAGATGGGTAGGTTTATAGACAGATAGACTAAATAGATAGGTGGATAGACACAAGTATCGCTATACACAAATACACGTACAGATTAATGTAGATAAAGATGAAAGTTTAGATATCTACATACAGATACAGATAAAAAGATTGACGTCAGTAAGCAAGAAGGTGAGTAGGTAGGTCGGTCGGTAGGTAGGCAGGGAGAAAGGTAGGCAGGCAGACAATGGTAGGGAGGTAAGCAAGTAGGTGTGCATGTCAGAAAGCATCGCACATACCTGCGAAATCTACACTCGAATGTCCCGTTACAAAGGTTGTCATCCTGGCATGAACTCATGAGACTGTCCAGAACAAACCAAAACAAACAAACAAACAAACACAAAACATAATTAAGCCTGCAGCAGCTACAGTACAGAGTCTGCATAAAGAGTGAGAGAGTGTGAGAGAGAGAGAGAGAGCGACAGGGAGAGAGAAGTACGCATGCATATGTTCTGCGGATGTGTGTATATATATATATGTGTGTAATGGTGTATGTATATGTATATGTATATGTATCTGTATCTGTATCTGTATCTGTATATGTATATGTATATGTGCATGTATATGTATATGTATGTATATGTATGGATATATATATATAT